TAACAAAGTTTAGCTGTAATGGGATGTACACCTAGTGATAGGAGTGAAGAAGAAATATTGTAATACTTTGATAGTTTATATCTGCCTCTGTTTGGGTGGGCACTTAAGTCCTCATTAGCCACACTTCCGCTTGGCAGCATGGCCTCCACCCCATGACTGTAGCCATTCAGCCCTTCTGTATATTTTTGATATAACCTCTGCCATAGTACTGACTTCTTACGACTTTGGAGAGGGTGCATTGGTGGCAGTGGCAAAGCGAACCTCATCTTAGACGATCAAGGAGGGGCGGCTACCGCTAAAGAGGGAATCTGTGAAGACATTCAGCAGAAGTGTCGAAAATGACCTCTATCTCCGGTAGCTACTCCAGTCTCATGTTGTGCAGGATTGCTGCTAACAACTGAAATCACACTATGGACCATTTAAAAAAGGTCAGTTGAGAGCTGTCTACGGCATCCAAATGATGATGCTAATTAAGCAAGCAAGCGATACCCGGCTAAATGGAACCTAGAGAGGCAGAAGAATAGGCATCACTTAAATAAGTACAAAGTAGCAATATGGAGTCGATGCCGAGTATTAACCTCACGAATTCGCCTTATATCATGTCTTCCGCTAAATTATTCGGCTTTTAGAACAATTTCCTCACGACTAGAGCACGACAAGCAAGACGATCTCGTTGTAGAGGGCCTTAGGTCCTGAGGAGTATGCAGCTTTTGCATTTCCTTTTCCTCAGTACAGTTCTCAAACAGACCAAAACTTCAGATTTAGCGAAATTGATGAGATGGATCCGTGACATTGGAATCCAAAGTCGTCTGAGCTTCAATGACTGCCGCTACTGATTTGTGGGTATTTTTCTTACGGCACCGACTACGTTCTAATAGTCAACACAGAGACTGACCTAAAGAAACGACGGGAACGACACGCAAAAGGAGAGAGAAGCTGTGTACTGCTTTGATACTGTGGTAAATACTGCATCTAAAAAGTGGGCACTTGAGTTCCCTCAGATTGTACTTCCACTCAGCCAAGCCATTATCCTCTCAGCCCTTCAGTACGTAAGCAATACATTCTCTGCCCTAGTAATATGCCTTCTTTCGCCTATAGGTAAGACTTTGGGCACTACACTACAGAAAACACTAGCGAATTCCCATTTTAAAGTTCCTTAGCGAACAGAAAACAGATGCATTTTAAAAAAATATAAAAACTCTGCAGGTAATTATATTTTCATGGCGGTCATTTAATTCCAAGCTGAAATCAGCCCATCAAAATTGGAATATGTGGAGGTTGACAAAGTATGTAAACTATTTTGTGTTTGAAATTGAAATTTTGAAATTTATAAAACAATAGTAGGCTTGTGTTATTTATATAAAATATGTAATATTGACACAACCCTTAACTACGTATTTGAATCCTATCAAGACTTGAAAGTTCCCTACAATGTGATACACACTGGGTGTGTGACGACACAACTTTGTCGGAAGTTAAACACAAGGGTTAACAAAGTGTACTTGAGTGATGAATCTAAATTCCTCTAAGGACGGCTTATGGCTAGAAATGAAGCAATGCATGACTCAGAAATTCTGGGTCCTAATAAGTCCTGTAATTACGTCCCACAGCATCCATCATTCATTAATTTAATTAAGCAATCGATTTACACCCATTGTAAAGACTTTTTGTCCTTATAATTTACACATCCCCTTGGGTGGCACAAACACACCATTTAAATGGTTGAGTTGGCTAACAAACCGCATTGTGCACAAGCACAGTGTCACACCATCCAATAAGACAGGACGAATTCAGCAGAAGCCAATCAGCGTTGACTTAATTCAATCGTACCGTGTTAATTGATTTGTTCTCGTGTTTGTCGTTTATCTGAGTGCCTTAACACCCACCCATTCCTCTTGTCAACTGAAATGCGGACTACCCTCTTGTTATTGGCTACTCTTACGATAATTCATCTACTGCCAACAGGTAGGTTGATGTGGAACACCTTGATTGAGTCCGTTCAGCGCTGTCCTTGAAGTGCGTCGTCTGTAATTCGTTCAAAGACGGTGAAGCCTGTGCTAATTGGGACACCTTGAGCTATATTGAGGAATGTCTGCCGGGAAACAAGACGTTGTGTGCCAAAATTGAGCAGTATAGTGAGTAGAACTTGTTCATAATTTTATGCTGAAGCAACATACTACTCAAAACAGCATTCATATCTTTAAAGAAGGATTAAAAAGGTCCGGAAAGAATTCTGCCGTTTTAACAAAAGTAAATTTAAAACATATGCAAATAAACACGTGTTTTAGAACTTTTCTTCCGTTTATTAAGCAAAATGCAGGGTTTAAGTGCATCTCTTAAAAGCAGTTTTCCCAGAACTACTGGGCCCTATGATAGGATCATAGACCCACCAAATTTCTCTAAATGGAAGCTTACAGTACTTAAAGTCCACAAAAATAACCGACGCATTCGGTATTTCAATTAAAAATAACCTAAGTAATTTGCATTTCCAAATTCTATTCAAAAAGAAATCCCTAATGATGAAGTGTTTGGGTTCCATGAATAAGGAAGTAAGAAGAGGCTATGGTGTTAATAACTTTGCTTGGCCGATCATAGCGAGTTGATCCCTGCGGTAATTTGTCAAAATCAAACTGTGTTGGTCCCTCAAAGGAAAGCTGCTTGTTAGCTATGTAATGTAGAGTGGACATTTTCCTTCCGCAGCTTTTAGTTATGTTAACAAGTCAACAAGACCAGGATTTTTCTTACCTTGCCATCGACGCCAGTCCCTGAACCCCATTCCCATCTTCAACAATCTTCCCTTTCCGGACGATGTAGTTGTTTACCACTCACATTAAAAGCTACTGGAAGTTGCTGTAGAGTGTCTTCATAAAAAACCTTCATTAAACTTGCAGTGTTTTCCGAACTCCTACTAACTACCCTCATGGGTACTTTCGTAATCCCATGCCATCCTGTATTTACCAAAAATAAGAGACTTTTAAGTCTTCTTTGTAGAATATTTATTCTAGGCTTTCGAGAAAACACGATGACGTAATATTGGATGAATATCCCTTGATTCAAATCATTGTATAAGCCTTCCGTATTGAAACTCCATAAAATTTCAAATAATATCTTTATCAATTCCCTCAGGCTCGCCATCACTTTCCCAGTTGCCATAACATCCATAGCCTCGTTTTCACTTCTGAAAGCCTGCATCTTCAAAATTGCTCAGACAGTTTTTGCATTCGATTTATGAACAGGGGATTTACGAAATCCCAGACCTGAAAAAAAAAAACTTTTTACTGCGTCTATTGAAGGCAATTCCTTTCAAGATAATTTTACCGGAAATTCCATTATTTATGGCGCTTTTAAAAGACGCTACTGATTTGCCAGTCCCATAGTCGCGATGACATGTTGATCCATCAGCTGGGTCGAAGAGGTAATGATAACATCAAGGAAAAACTGTGCAAATAAGACTACTATTGGGTGTCAATAAAACCTTTTTAAATTAAAAAGTGCATTACCTAAAACTAACACTGTTTTTTTTCTCGACAATCTGTCCTGTTTTGATAGGTCACGTAACCCAACGGGAATGATAAGTCCCATTTCGTAATATTCGAAATTAATGGAAAGAGATAGATGATATGAAATGATATGAACTTGTGCGGACTGTAATCGTGTCCTATGAAATCACATCTTGGTTTTTCTTAAGATTATTTTAAGATTGCATAAAATGAGACGTCTTTATCTTCCACCTATGGAAATAATTGCAAATGATTTTTTTTCTCGCAAAAATTAGAGGGGACGTTGTAAAAATTTCTTAATATTTTATTTAAAAATACTCTAGAACAGTAGCTATTGCATGAAAATATGCTTCGTAGCACTGCAGTCGCTCCTGGATACGTGAAATGACAGGTAACCATGACTATGGGTTTCATCGGGAGAATTGACCTATCAGCGTTATGAATTGCATGCCAAGATGTTGCGAAAATAGATAAGTCATGGAGACTGAAGGGCTCGCATAAGTGAATATCATCTTCACAAAGCATGAAGAAGGCTGTTTGTTACATTGGTACGTGTAAATTCTGAAAGTTTATTTAGGAATCCTGAACATCACGCCCTTCTCAAGGCGAGCTGGTAGTGTTAGAAGTTGATATACTTCGTAGTTCGGACACTTCCTTAAATGTGACGTGAGAAATGGGAGTACCATATCCCTGCACCAAAAGATGTGCATTATCCCGTTTGGAGGAATACAGCATGACCTTCTTTGAAGTAAACGGTGGATCTAATGTTGCTATATTGGTACACGTTTTTGTCAAACGCATAAATTAGGATTCATCAGAAGTAGGGAAAAGCTGCTTTATTCCTTCTGTAATGAGCTTCCGCAAATTCAGCCGACGATAGTAGGCATCGTCCAGCCATGGTGATTGGGTGTGACATCTAGCTAACCAAACAAGGATTATTGTCCACTTAAATTTGGTCTGCGTACCGTTGTCCCTGATTACTTGTCCCTGTCTTCCTTAAAGGTGCTTTGAGACATTAAAATACAGAAGGACGTTTTACTATTACTTATAGGGGAACTGAAAGGCTGAAAACGGAAGCTTGGTTTGCTATGCATTTAAAAGGCATTTTGTCATTATAAAATCCGTGATTGTGGTAGAAAGACCCAAATAGTGTTTACTCCTCTCTATCATCAATATAGCAGCCTCACTGATCCTCGAAGACGTAATAAGCTTCACAGGGCAGGATATCAAGACACTATGGTGTCAAGATCATGAAGTAAAAGCACAACTTTCTTATGCTTCATCCAAATATTCCTCCAGTTTGAAATATTCATGATCCATGAAGCCATTTGTTACCGCAGTCTTAGCGGCAAATCAATCATCATAATACAGGGTTTTTGTGTGTTACTTAAGTTCCTGATAAATTCAAATACTGTTTTGAAATCAACCAACTTTTTTATCAAATACAATTTGGTGCAATGGGAATGTCGCACTAATCTGACGTGCTGACTTATGTGAGAAAATTGGAAAGCCACGGCAGTATGACGTTGGTAGTAAATGTGTTAATTAGGTAAAGCACTTATTTGTTTCGAGTTTATTACACCTTAAATTATTTTAATGTGAACCTATTTTAAAGCAGGATTTAAGGTTCTATTCTCTTTTACAACTGTCTTTTCTAAAGTTTACTCAGAGTAAATTAGCTTTTCTTGCTCAAAGTAAGACAACTATTTACGCTTATCCATTTTGTGACCTTTTTGTAAGAGTAATTATCTCCATCCGTTCACTTTTCTTGTCTTTCCTAGGGGTAATCTGTTACAGTTTCAGTAGAAAGTGAATGAGGTAACAGTCTTGAAATCTAAACACACCTCTGAATGTTTTGAGAGGTAACTAGCGTAAACAACACCTTGTTTACGCGTAGAATGTCATAGCGTTCTTGTACGAACAAAACGCCGTTAAATGGATGACACTGAGTGATTGAAGTACTTTTCTCCTTTTTAGTGCTCAGTTTCTACATATTAAACCAAAAAAGATTAAAGTAAATGCATTTAATTTTACGATGAAGGAAAACGATACTGACACCGATGTTTATCAGCATTTCTTGGGGCTCAAACTCACAACCAAGAAGCTACTGACATTTGACAAATATAAGCCATATGGAACCGAAGATTGTTAAGACTAGGTTTTTTCCTACGGGAGTCAAAACACGTCTTCAAAAGTAGAAGTCCCCAAAATTATGTCATGTTAGAAAAGGAGGATGGGATGTGCGTGAGCGCGGATCCTTTTGAATTTTCAAGCAGACTAATCAAAGAGGTAAAGTCCCCACTACGGAGGCCTTGATTGTCGACCAATTTGTGTAGGCTGAGGGCAATAGCGTGTGCGTGGTTTTATTGTCACCTATTTATAACATTTTGATAGACCTTGCTCTTAAAATGAGTATTAGTGCATTTAAAGTCTATATGTGCTTAATATTGGCCAATCAAAAGGAAGTTAACGAGATCGCATGTTTCCAAGAGACATTAACACAAAAATGAAGCTTCCGGAACATTAAACAAATTTACAGTAGCTTATTCAGTCTTCATTCTTAGCTCAAATATGTCACTCTTTCACTTTTGGTATCTAATTTTATATTGGTAAGCGTTTTCCATATTTCTGATTTTAGAAGTGAACTCATGTTTGAACTCCATTTACTTCGTAAAATATCCATAAATTAATTACTACTCATTTAACATTTTAAAAATATCTTTTCATCTGTAGATAATCATATGACCTTCAAATTTTTATATCTAGCTATTGCTTAATTAATGAAAGTTGAACTTTTTGACTCCATTTGAATTTGAACAAAAACGGAGGTTTAACTTTTCCAGTAGGTAACTTAGTAATAAGTTTACATTATTTCTATAAACAAATGCCTTTTGGTCATTAAATTAAAACAAGCGCACCTGTAGCCTACCAAGTCCTCCTTGAAGTCGTAATAGCCCAAAGTAGTAGGGAAGGCTATATTACTTACTAGTGTGCAGAGGAGCTGCGCTATTATCACGGCCTAAAAATTGTATCGTGGGTTGGGAGTACAACCCACAGAGACTGAAGCGCCTAAGCGTTTAAACGCATAGCAAAACAAAGGATCAAGTCACTACACATCAATAAACCTATTCTCATAAACCAATCAGAACCAGGGTTTTATGTACTTTTAGAGGGCGAAATCATTGCGAATCTCGTTTTTTACAAGTGTTTTCAAGTTTTTCTATCAAATTTTTGTCTTCCGGAGAAAACTACTTATTACCCGTAAAGAGTCGTTTCGAATAAGTGTTCTATCATGAGTTCGTAAATGCTTAGTGAATTTACAAAGAAATATTTGTAATAATTAAGACCACTTTTCATCGCGGTTGGAAATCAAGGTAAATTTCACCCCCACGAGAAATGTCGTAATGGCTCAAAAAGTAAACAAGTCTAAACTTTAAATTTCAAGCCTGCCATAACTTATTTGCTAGAAAATAGTGATCAATTGCTGTACTTACAAGGCTGTGCTCTAGCTTCCCAGTTCTACTTTGAAATTGTGCTAAGCGCTTTATTTCCGTCGTTCGGGGGGGGTTGAACAACGAAAGGCACTGCCAAGATAAGAGCGAAAATCGCGAAGATTGGAGAACGCAGGTAATCAAGCATGCAGTCCCATCGGCGCTTCTTGTCATTTTTCTGTTTTCTTCAGCATGCACTTGAGATATGGAGAAAGAAGTGTTTGTTAACTTAGTCCACAAGTCTTCCCCCGAGCACCTCGGATGGTAAGGTGGTGGACGATTTTAAATCGTTCGAATTTGATGTTAATTCTTCAGAACACGAGCCTAACATGGCTGGTGAAATTCGGTAAATGCTGTTAAGTTTCGCCAAGAAATCAAAAGTTCACAGCCCATGCCTTCCTCTCTGATACTTATTTTTTACACCAATCATCGAATCCGAGGTTTTAGTTCAGTTGGTTTCCTAAGCCTTCCTGAAGTTGTGATTGACCATAACGCCATCGGAAGATTGTTTATTGTTTACGTACAGACGATCTGAGTGACTGTAGCCATGACGTCAAAGCGATTGTATTGTCTTTAGGGGCTGAAGAGCTCGCACAATCAAAAACGCTTTAAAGCAATTATCAATTTGATAAAATGTTGCTTTCTTGTTCCCAAAAGTGATGCCTTTTAAGAAGTCACTTCTTGAAAGGGATGGAATAAATCTCCCGATAAAGCCATTTTGAGGATATTTTTACCTCATCATGGTTTAACGAGACCGCAAAACACTTTTACTAGATTTAAGCTAGGCACCTTGGGAACAAAAAAGATTCAATAAAAGTCCTTGTAAATGTACGCTAAGCAGTTAACCCTGCTACAGAAAGTCCACTTCTGAGGGAAAACGCCACCAACGGTTTACTATCTTTTGCCACTCACTATCATCGCAATAATATGCTTACTTTCCTAAATACTTTGAATTCCAATTACTTTTATTTGGTTAACGGAAACAAAGTCGGGACTAGAGACTCGTAGATACTTTTGGGAAAGAGAGAGTATTTTGCAGAGCATAAAAAGCTCTTTTTACCAAGTTGCAAAACTATCTAGAAAATGTAAGCGTGTCTGAGGTACGTCCTTCTGGCGGTCCGCAAAAATCTGTAGCGAGCCGAGCGTCATAGAGGAGGCGGGCTTTATTACCGCTTAAGTTTTATAGATGACAGACGACAAGTCTACCATTCACGCTGTTTTACGGCCTTTTCAAACTCCTACCCTTTGCTTTGCGTTCAGCTAGGTCAAGTTATTTCCTAATATACAAGAATACACTGAACCGGGTAATTAGCTGGCGTGGAATTTACAAAACCATCATCTAGCCCCATGAGCCCTCCTTGAAGCCGTAATAAGTCAATGCAGTATGAAAAGCATACCGCCTACGGACTCACGAAAGAGCTAGAAGGCCATTAGCTTGAATCGAAGGTCAGAGTGGAACTGTGGCCTATGGCAGCCGCATTACTAGCCCAGTTAAACACAAATATAAACTACCAAATTACTGTACAAAACCTTAAAGGGTTTTAAACCATTAGCAATCGTCTTGTTTTTATTTTTAAAACCGAAAAGGGGGATGACTGCAGATGGAAACAGTGTTTCAATTCCACCAATAAAAGTTCAATCAATACTAAATTTAACAAAGATGTTTAAATGAAATTTGGACAAAGATATACATTGTTACTTAAAAACATTGAAATATATTTTCGTTTGTTTGATCGCATCCCATGACATTGTAATTTATGTCTAAAAAGCAATTACTTATAACAGGATGCAGAAAGACCTATTATTTCTGCAAAGAAAGTCAAGATCACGGAAACCGATGGGTTGCAGCGTTTAAATATCCAGCTGAGTATGCACCCAATCATCACATGGTCTCTTTCCTCACTTAAACATAATCTTCCGTCCTTCTATTGGCCATTTCCGCCACCTGGGCTCAATGAACTCCAATGTCAGTCGAAACTCACTGTAAAACATCTAGCCGAGACAGCTACCTAGTGTTAATTTTCCGAGCGTCATATCCTCTAAAACGTCGAACGCTATTAGATGACAATCTGGTATGTCCAGGACTTCCTGTAGTAGCATCAAGACTCCGTTTCGTTTAAAAGCTTGTAACGGGCCTTTCGTCGATGTCACTTACAAACAGGTAAAATATGATGCTACACCTTAAGCAGGTATTACATGGTAGAACTCGAAATTGGAGATCCACTAAGGTAAACGTCATGTTAATCCTTTCGTAATGCCGCAATGGATTAATCAGCCAATGAAATCGGGACCATTGGTAACTTGAGTTAAGTCCGTTTACCATTGTCTGGAGTCTTCTTGGAGGCCCTAATATGGATGAATGAGGTAGAGGCTAAAGTTTAATGTGAAGGAGATAAGAACGACGAGTAGAGAGGGAACTGAAGAGCTCGCGTTTTCAATGACGCAGTTAAGCACCTATTAAACTGCTATCATCATTCAAATTAATGAATTTTTCTAATAAAAAGGGAATGCTGAAAAGCAGACTGAAACATCAAAGAGGTACCCGATGTAGAATATGGAATGCAACATTTATGCGCTGATCGCTCCAGTAAGCAGCGTGTATCATTTTTTTTTCAGAGAAGAAGAAGAAAACTTTTCAAGCCAAATTCTTTAAACGCGTACGAATTTGCTTAATCATAATGCCGAAGTGGGGAATTCTATGTCAACGACTTTGTTTTGGCACATCGCCATCGAAGTTTCAGGGAGAAGTGGATCACTGCAACTCAGCTCATTAACTGCAAAATGTGGGCCTTTTTCCTGGATTAAGAGCCTTCTACATCTGATTTTATTATTTTCAGTTAATCCGCTTGTAGCTCAATTTGAAACATCGGATTATCATGTCACATATATGTGACATTGCCATTGTGCGCATCGAAGGATAAGAATAGGCGAAATTTTATTTAAAAAATGGTCATTTGTGTAAAATTGCGTTATGTTTTTGCGATAAGGTACTAAAAACTGATTTATTGGTGTAAATCAGTTTTATTATCATCCGAAAATCGATGTTTCCGATTATAATGACAGCACTTTCATCAAGATAATGGATTTGAATGTACAAATTTTGACTTAAAAATGTAGAATCAATAAAATTAAATGTTTTGAGACCATTATTTTTAGCGAAGTAGTTGCTCTTTTGTCAACTAAGTTACAAACCCACAGGATATACTTAATTGCATAATCGGGAGATATGTTTGCAACGAATTTTATTTTTCCTCATGAATTAATTATTTGCTAATATTAAAGCTTTCTTAGTAGTATCGAAGGCAAATCCTTTCACATTTACCATCTGACATTCAAAGAGTGACTTGTGGTTGCATCTAGTGATGTTATTAGCCCGTAGTAAAGTCATATCCTCGTTTTTAAATTGCTCCTGGGTCTATTCAAACAAAGAATTAAGCAAAAGCCCAACACTGTGTTTGCACTGACGGATGAAGGGTAGTAAATAATCACCCTGGAAATCCAAATAATCTGTGATTCAGCATAGTGTTACAATCCAAGGGAGAACTTTGCCGTGAAACTAATTCATGTGTTACATCACGGAGGAATCGGTGTTGGAAGATGTACTTATCCGTTAGAAGAACAGATTCGTCTTCATCGATACTTTCGTAAAGTCCTCTATAATGGCACCTAGTGGTTAGAAAAGGGTCCTACTGCTATGATGGTTTAAGAACGCGCCATATGTATAGTTATTCTGGAACAGCAGGATAACGGTTGAAGATGTAGCAGTGTCAGATCTGCTATTACCGCAGTTCAAGTCATTGAGTGCACCAGACCAGTGTATCATCGACTGATAAACAATTGTGAGTGAAATTATCTGTCAGTTATTTGGCGATAAGTCTATCCATTACCGTCTAGGTGCTGTAGCTCCCCAAGACTATTCTCAAGACAAAAGGAGATATAATACTCTGCTGGAATGTGTACTGTCAGCGTAGAGTAAAGCATGGGGCTACTAAAACACCTTAAAAGCTAGGCTGCTGGACAAGTGTACAATGGCGGAGTCCCTAAGTGGTCCCTTTACCAAAACTGAGAGTTAAACAAACAACCAACGTATTGCAAAGTGGTCATCAACAAGATATTGTATTTTTTTGACCGACACCTTTCTTTTAAAAACCAGCACAGTTTTAAAATACAGGCTGTCTGACTTCCCATTCCTAATTTTTCTTATTAAACATAGATATTACAGTTTCTTCAGGGACAAAATACTGGAAAATTTTAATCTCATCGGATAACTATTCATTTCTCTAAGCATGGAATATTTTCAACCTAGATAAAATTTTAAAAATATTTCTTCACAGATAATTAATTTTACTTTCAGCAGGAAAATGACTAGAGTACAATAAGTTGCTTTTTTTTATAGCTGAAGGCAAGAAACGAGTTGTTCGCAAATGCAGTGAAGCCAACACAGAACTGGGCTGTATTCGTCGTATCTGCTCGGACAATAGACAGGTTCGTCATTGTCACTGTCGTGAACCCCTCTGCAATCCAGCAACCCGAGGTCAAGTCACCCTCGGTCCACTTGCCTTCCTAACGGTCTTCCTGTTGGCACAATTCTGATGACGTGAGAAGCCGTATCAGACGGCAAAAATTAGTGTCCAAATGGTTTAAGTGATGATTGTTCTTCCATTATAAATGATATCCCATTCTTTGCTTTTCATGTATCTTAGCATATGTTTTGGGCTCATATATACATTGGTAATAAATTTCTATTTTGATATTTATTTGCAAACAAAAACAAGTACAGAGCTCTTCAAAAGTCCAGCGGTTTGGGGAATTAAAAGTGGGCAACGGATTAGGCGGATACATAGCAGCCACAAATTTTGCAAGACGTCTGCCAATCTACGATACCAATGCTTCTTTGTAATTCACATCTTCATGGCATAAATATTATTTCAATTTAGGGAATATTAACATATTTACTTAGCTTATGACGATTTTATGGGACTTGTTGAAGTAGGCGATAGTTTTTTATTATATTTTGATAAATTTGAAAATATGTGCAATTATAGCAGTGAAGTTGGATTAATGATATCTTCCAGAATGTAAGCCGAAACTCTCGTAGGTGATCCACTTTTACACCTATCCCAAGTAACTTTCTTTACATCTTGCTAATAAGGAGGAATTTTACGTCTTCTCCATACCTGATTGCCTTGTTAAAAGGGCTTAAACAGGAAGACGACAAGGAATTTATGGTGAGCGAATTTGAAATCCAACTTTTCTGTTTGGGATGCTGATCACTCTTGCAGTTTGTTACATAAGCTACTACTTTGGAGCAAGAATGTCCACAAAATTCGCTCTTCAACTGCACCACAAAGGAAGGACCAGCCACCTCAATCATTAAAATGTAGATGCACACCTATGGTCATCGAAGCCATCTATGATAAACAGATTTAGAGTCCCTCTGAGGCCCATCCAACTACTGGCACGACTTGATGAAACCTGGTAAAACTTAGAAGCAGATCAGCGATTAAAGACTACTGATTTGTTTTCGCGATAGACCTCGTCATTAGTCGAAAGTTAATATGCAACGCTCCCGTGTATATAATTACCAATAATTCCAGAAAACTCGATCGTAACACCTCTTTTGTACAACAAAAGTTTTATGAGAAAATAAGAAATTGGAAGCCTACCGTCCTCAAGATTATTTACTAAAATTACAAATACAGTCAAAAAGGGCAAGTTTTACTTGCAAGTTCTTACTTATTTAATTCAAATGAACTGTGGAGCGAGACTCCTCGA